CCACCACCAAAGTCAGGTGGCGGTGGCGGGGCTCGAACCTCGGATCATAGGGTCCAAAACATGACTGGGACAGCGACTAAACCGCCATGCCGCCACCACTCCATTACACCGAACCAGTCTATAGTAATTTACGAGACGGGATCATAAAGCCCACCCAACGAAATTGACTTCAAACAAACGGGGGAAAATCAAAACAGAACAGAAAATTTCATCATAAAAATGATTATAACGAAAATCTTACACTGATGAAAACATGCGTTGACAGAAAGGGATTAGGAGATAGATGAGTTTTCCTGTTTCTTATTTTCAGAACTGGGGCTCTGCTTTACCAAAGTGTTTATTGTACACTAGTAGGGTGTCACACTTAGACTGAGAAGCCGTAGAGACAGAGTAGAGCGATTCGAACGCAGAATTATAGCGAGGTGAGTTTCACAGGCTTTCACTTGATATCTAAAGGGTTTTCACAGAAAAGTTTTAAGACAACTACCCGTACTTGCTATTAGACTGTGACTTTTGTCACTCCAACGCGGATCGCTATATTGATACCTGCTTTGTCAGTGTTGTACGCTACGGACGGGCATAACTTGCTATACATCGACATTGCATGATCAATACTTTTTCGATCAACCGGATCCCATCAATCGAACGAACCCAAGGTTCTGCTTCAGCATTCCCCATGGTGTATCCCACTTCCATCCATATTTTGGTCGTATATCAAACAAACTCAAAGTACAAAAAAGTACGCATTGTTTTGTACTAATCAGAAACAGTTATCCCACTTACTTAAAGAATAGTTTTCTTGCTGATTAAAATGCTGAGATTGGATGAACTCAGATATTTATCCGCAAAGATATTCCCGTAAATGTTCTCCAGTGGTGACTCTCATCTTATCCCGCTAACATGCATTTTTGTGACATGCCGCACATAGTGATTATCAGAAACGGCGTGCCTGACGAAACTAGATTTTATGTTGTAGGCATAACTTAAAAGTCGAAGATGTACTGTGTGGTAGAGTTAACTCGGGTGAGGTTATCGATTTTCTGCGTCCATTACTGAGATAAACTTGTGCGCTCTCCAATGGCCTCTTTCACGCAGCACTTTTGTAAGAATCTAAGATGCAGTGGACAACACTGTGAGTGATGGGCGAGGTGTTTTATACGATGTTCGCGTCTTACAACTAGATCCATGGCGTTTTTTCCTTTCAATGTCGTCAAACAAATACAAATACAGAAGATTTCCTCATCAAATTTTTGAGCCACGGCAACCTTCACCTGCTCAGTGAAACCTTGAATGGTGATTGAAATAATTCACCACAAACTATTGTAGAACATAACGACAATTATGCGGTAAATCAATCCCGACGAAACATGCAATCATTTGGTTGTTTCCTAAAGGTTATTTTTCAAACATTTTGAAAGTCAGTGGCGGTGAAATTTTTCAAATGGCGGAGATTTAAAATGAATCGTTTGATAGTACTTAGGATTTTCAATAACTTCTGCCAGGCTGGCATAAATAACTCTAACAGATTTCAGCATCACTACCAACCACGTTGTAATTGGGTAAGTATTCCTAGAAGGTTCAAGATAAAACAGCAAAAACAAGTTGGCCGAAGAATCGCTTAACAAGATATAACCTGAAAGATTACCAGCACTGGGAATCTGATGGTCTCTACTATCAAATTCAATTTATTACTGTTGTGCATCAATTTTTGTATCCAACTCATTACATATGTCAATTTTATTGCATTTATTCACAATTACTGAACTTTCAATACATCTTCAAAGCTGGCACTCCGTAAGAGTGCATTCAATAACTGGAGCTACATTTTGGTGTCGCAGTACGTAATACCTCTCCTTCCATCCAATCGTTTGTGCTCCGATCGGTTAGTGATTCAAGTTAAAAGATTCGTCTAAAAGCTTATGTATAAATTGCTGGAGCTTTATTACAAATACAAATCTATGCGGGATTTGCTTTACTTTGTACCTTGAATAAGCTGTTCTCTGGCGAATCATTGTTTATGTTGTCGGAGTCGGTTAAGCTCAAAATAAAAATCCCTCCGAACAGTGTGTATGCTGACCTGGATTAGAGGATGAATGCACCACCATTCTTACAAATTTCATGACCAGTTCTGTTTTGCCCTCTCCCACATTTTCAACACTCGTTCAGAATAATAGGCCCTAGATAACAGCGAGTATTGGAGACCAACTATTGTCAAGGGGTTTGAAAACGTTCCACTCAGGCCAATATAGAGTTAATAATTAATTATTTCATCCATTGTCTGGATTTTAAATGCTTTTTCCGTTCAGATTTCCATCAACACATGGTAACTGGAAATCCCCTCTAGAGAGATATTAAAAACCAGCCTCATAGGTATTGTTCAACAGAGAACAATATTTTCACATTCGACTGTAATCCTTCAAGTACACCGGTCTCAGCTGGGTAGAAATCATTATTTGAAATATTAAGTCTCTCATATCACAACATTTACTAGGATTATGTTTGGCGAAGTGTTTCTTAGGAATGAATCGTTTAGCTAAGGTAATTATCAAGTCCTCAAAAATTAGCTCGTGTCTATGGTGGTTCATATTATTTTTCAGTTCATGAAGTTTCTTGTACGCGATCTGCAAAGAAGCCTACCTCCAATCAACTAGATAACTGTGCGAGGAGGTAAACAGGGCTTTGAGATTCTTCGGAGTTTATGAATGCAAGCAGAATATCCATCTAATAAATCAACGGGAGAGGCAACTGTTACGGATCTTCGTTACTAAAAGCCCTTAGATTAAAGCTTTTATAGTGTTTTCACTTATCGATCAGGTTGGTGTAGGCTAAAATTACCAATGAAATGTATATCTATGTATATGGGTAGATGAATAGATGGATAGATAGATAATCATAAACACTGCTGTTTAAAGATCGGAAGATTCCTTAGATCAGTTTTCAAGGCAATTACCCGTGTTTTGCACAGTACATTTTATCACATTTGAGCCATTGTTACTGATCAAATGAAATATGTGCAGTGCTTGAAATGCTATCAACAAGATTCGATAAAAACTTCTCTGAGTACTGTACTATCAGCGTGATTGCTACCATATGGAATCATTTATAAACTGTGCCTCAAGAATATTGTACAAAAAACAAGCTGGACACATTACTGGTGCCCAAAGATCACAGTATCCTTTTGGAGGGACGACAGATTTAATGGGCGCAGTTATAGAACGGGATTAGGTTCGGAATCATTTCCGACTTAATGTTGTTTAGTAAAACAACCTGATTGTTGGCATCAGAAGCTCATGCTAAATAACCTCAAATTGATCGACGATCATCCTTGCGGTTGGATTTATCATCAAAAGTTCAGAAAACACCACGGCTTGATTTATAATAAAACTGGTTCATCTGATTTAAAGGTAACATAATAAGTTTATATGAAAACAATTAAAAATCTAAGAGTGAAAAATAACCTAATTATGACCGGTTGTGAAGGTGTTTATTGTAGATCCGAACGGCAGCATCCGGTTCTTATATCTGATGTCTCATTTTGAACTTCTAGCTCTACGACTACATTACGTTATTTCTAACGCGTTTAGATTTGGTTTGAGTTCCAACCTCAAATAAACCCACAGAAGTTAAATGGTTTAGGGCCATCTTAGTAACTGCGGTTAAGTTGGTTGGGCGCTTTATTGTCCACGTACATGTAAGTGTGTTAAAGCATTGGGTGATGAACGTTTCGCCGTCTCTACGAAACACGCATACCGTTTGAAGACAAAACGATGTTGTAGGTATCATTATCGATCGATAATTTAGCACTGTTTGTAACTTTTACCTGCATATACTCATTCTGTTTAAGCCTGGCATAATACGATTTCGATTTTGGTAGCCATGTAGCTCCTTGATTCTAGTAAAGGTAAAATGATATCTTACCAAAAGATAAATTCCAGTTGAAAATGTCTGTTAGAGTTCAATTGTTGAACGGGAGACTCAAAACGCAATCGATCTTACGCATATTATATTCATGAAACTGGGAATTCAATGAAGAAATGAAAGTAGCTTGGTTGATTTTCGCCCGAATTCAATCACTATATATATTACCTCTTCATAAAGGAACAACAGGACGATGCTGTTTAGAATACGTACGCACAACTGCCAACATTTTGTCTAACAAACAAAATTTTGGGGGACAAAAAGACAATTTAACGATTACCATAAATAACTTCCTAATTTTGTATGACACGAGGTTCACTATGAATCATGTAGTGTCGTGCTATCTGACATGTACTCCGGTCGGTATTCAGTCCCCATTCGCACACATGTACACAAAATTATACGCAGTATGTGTGATTTCACGCGCATACAAGTGATCTGCAATGGGCAATACATTGACAACGCGAAGTAGAAAAAGCGCTATCCGTAGCGTTAATTTCTCGTCCTGTGTAACTGCTATCCATGTTGGTGAGTTTCGCGCGGAGGGTGGAAAACAGCGCTAACAATATTTGCCTTCAGTACGCATCTAAACTTATCCCTGTGTTACAGTTGCGCGCGTGCTTGGGTGACAGCTAGTGCTCATCAGCGCAGATCGAAGCGCTAATGAATCAAACTGAATGGCGGCAAACCAGCAGAAGGCGCGAATAGGGACTGAAATTCGCAGCTCTCGGGTTTGATTTTGTTTCATCGAGTGTGCTTCGGTTCGAATAAAGCTTGTTTTCAAATCAACAGATAAAGCGCTTTATGGGATATTTACCACACCAATTCAGGTTAAGTGATAAAACACTGGTGAGGATGATCACCTGAGAGCTAAGTATATTTTTGGTTCAATGCTACGGAGATAAATAGTAGAATAGAATAGAATAGAATAACCATATATTTTGCACAATAATTTTCTTACAACTTCTCAGAATGCAATGAAGTATTGGTAATTTTACGATCAAGGAAATTATTAGTATGATAGTGGATATGTTCTGAGTGCAATGAAACTAATACATATGCTCAATTGATCAAAAGTTACACTAAACCATCATTGATCGTATCTAAATTATCCCGCAAGTTATGAAGTACCAAGGTTTCCCCAACAAATAAGTGCATTGTCCAAGTTCATTTTTTTGGAATCTATTTTACTAACTTCTCTGCTGTAACGTACGATAAATCCACTAAACCCAGCTTCAGTTTTCATTCTCCTTGTAACAGACGGCGAGTTTGGCAGATTTTACTTACTTTAATAATCCCCTACAGGTTATCCACCGCCGTTAACTCCGGAATGGGTGCCGGCAAACTTGGTTATATGATATTGGTGTGAAAGCAATAGTATCATGAAATACGATGAGTTACTATCTATAAAAGAAATAGAATGCCGCTAGATTTTATAAAACAAATAACATCATCAAGCTTTCAAGAGCATTTATGTAGAAAATAGAGATTTCACCGCTATCTGAATTGATCAGTTCCAGCTTTTTCTCTTCTATTTTTAAACACACTAGAACTGAATTAACTCGGTTCTTTGCCCACGTAGTACTGGGTAAAACTGTAACAACCTTCTGAAATAAACACTTTTTATTAGTGAATACCATCATGCTCGACTAGTCATATTATGGGACATCTTCCTATTGGAATAAAGAATACACTTCAGTTGTTGTTAATCACGGGAGCCTACTTCGCATCTGGTACCGTAGTTGGAGAGCAAATCATGATTTATTCTCCTGATTGAGGCCAAGCGTCTACTGGAACTGAGGCAATGATCGTGGTGTCTATGATAAGTCAATCTGACAATTACTCGCTTTTCGATTTATCACACCAAACTGAGATGAAATGAATCAACCGGAGATCGTATCAAAGTGAAATTTTATCATTATGGTTGGTTGGAATCTCCTCCGCACAAGATAACCGGTTGAAGGGGTTGAAATTGGCAAAATAGTTGGCTGGAGTGGATCACTAAATGCGGCTGTATTTGAGACAATGTGCTTAAGCTTAACGGAACGAAAATGTAGGTACTGGAGAAATCGTACTAGATGGAAATGAAATGTTTATCCAAATCAATGATCGTGTCAATAGTTGCAGTGTATACATGAAACTGAACATTTTTTACGACGCAATCTGAAAGGCTTATCAGTTCCCTGTTATATAAGAAACTTTAACGGATGAAATATGCTCAAAACAAAAACTAATTCTGCCAGAGTAGAACAAAGCAAGTTAAATGGACAAGCCGAGCTGACGGATAATTTAAATTCAACAGGTTTTTATGTCCACGGTTAGCACGAGCTCCGTTAATACTTCCAATATTCATTAATACTCACTTCATTAAGTTATAGTTATTATCCTTCAAAAATATCAATTTACCCAGGAAACTCAAACGTTGTTATAGATGAGGCGAAAGACATTACAAAATTTTTCGTCAAATTGAACGATTTTGATCAAAGTTTAAAATACACGAGGTGGCTGAAGAAAATTTCAGACGATCTCACAATTGTGAAAAAGAATAATCGCTTTATGCTATCCTGTAACATTCATTCACTCGCCCCAGTATGTGAATCGACCAGTCGATCTGCTATCTGATCTGTGTCTATGGCTACATGAACGCTGGCATTGTGACTGCTACAAAATCCAGTGGGTACACTGATATATGTTTGACACAGGCACGTGGCACAGATCTCAAAATTCGCGTTTTCAACACTTACCGATTCCGCATGCTGATTAATTTGTTCATCAATGGAAAATTTCTCTTGGTCTGCCGCGTTCAACTGACGACAAAGAACTTGGTAACGAAACATCCATTCATGCATGCGTGTGTGACTGTTTTGGGGGAGGGAAGGAAAAATGATGAAAAGTGAGATTTGATAAGATATTTGTTTGGATTTCGAAATCTGAGAACGGTCTACGGTATAATGAAAAGTAAACCAGCTATTACATAAGGCATCGATTTCCGTGACTGAATCCGTAAGAATTTCAAGGGGTTTACGGGGCCATCTTCTTGTTTTATTCACGAAATCGATTAACCATTAGCGTAAAATTGAGAATGGTCTATGAGAAAACATTTTTGAGTATATTTTCAATAGAAGACAATAATTTTTTCATTTAAGTTTCATTTGGTGACTGGTTTGTATCTAGCTAAAAGTAATACGTGCTATCAAAGGTCTACAAGTAAGTTCTTTACGACACTGTCATGCACAGGATATTTTCACCGAAGCTACAGATCGAGAATGTTACATCTGGATATCACCCATGGTCAGTACAGCTTCTTGGATAGTTAGAAAACCCTGATTAAACAGGTTTGC